AAGGTTTTTCCGGAGACCAAAAGTGGTCGGAAGAAGGCTTTCAACTTGATTTATGATCATTTTCAGTTGGTCGGAAATTCTATAATTTCCAATTGTGTGCGTAAACCCTACTCATGTTAATAGTCTGCAAATCATAAAATAAAGGCGAACCATATGACGAGCTTGACCGATGATAGAATGTTGGCAATAATAATTCAACACATGACCTCGTACTAGGTAAACAACGTAACATTAGTAGTTTTTTTTTTTTTTTTACTTAAATAAATCTGACTGTGGATCAAAGCAAAGTATTCAAAGATCATCATAAGTCGTCAAAGTCTACGCCACCAAAATAAATTTGATAATCTATCATCCAATGTATAACCCCACAATCTCACACATTATGTATATGTTAAGGGTTCAATAAATGACTTGTTACCCAATTATTAAAGCACACGAAACACTGATTTTGTTTTGTACTAAGCGTTGATTATTGATTTATTGAGGTTGCCTCCTTGGATCAATGTCAGCTTCGTTTGTTTGTATTACTAAGCTTTATTGTTTTAATGCCAAGTGTTAGCAACTAAACCGATCATGGTGTTTAGTCAAAGTGAAAATGTTGTTGTACTACGTTACATACGTTGTTTGTTTGTTTGAGGATCGCACTAAGGATTCAACCCAGCTGGGTTTAGTGCACATGTTAGGTGACCTCTCAACTCACCCTTTCTATTTCAACATTTTCTTTCAATGGCGATATGCATTATATATGAGGACAACAAATTTAATTAGGCTTTAAACATTTTTCTCATGTGATATAAATTTGTGTTATATAGTAATATTCGATAGTAAGTTATATATTATCGTACATTTAATGACTAGTTAGGTTGAAAATAGCTGTCGAGCACCTTGTGCTCAGATGGTATGTAGTGACTTCTCTCATGTGGGAGGTTATGAGTATCGAGCCTCAACGATATTACAATGTAATAGAGTCAGTAGCATTAAAATAAAAAGATCACCTCGGATTCGTTGGAAGTGAGTGAAAATTGTGTTTGCTTTTTTATGGTTACATTATAAACTTATATTATCACTTTATGGCCGGAAAAGAAAGAGCAATGAAAAAATAGACGGAAAAGGAAAATTCCTCCCCACCCCCACCGTACCCCCCAAAAAAACCTAGTCAAAAATTCATTCACTAGTTGAGTAGACAAAAAAATTCATCCACTTAGTCAGTGAATGAAAATTTTTGATGTGTTCTTTTTTGCACACCTATATATAGGTGGTTTGGATAGAAAATTACGGAGTAGATGAAACTTAGGCTTCTAGCAAAAATTGTGTGCAGTGGGTTAATAAAGGGGATGGAAAATTCAATCAACTTTTTTTTAGTCACCATATGAGGGTATATATGTAATTTACATCGAGTAAATTTCACTTCTACGTACATTTTGGTACATTTATTAGTTATTGTTGAAGTTATTATATAAAATTTACAAATTAAAAAGAGATTATAATATGAAGTTTCTCCGTCACACTAGACTGCAGTATGCACGTGGAGAAAAATGATCTCTTTTTTTTTTTGTGTGTGAAAGCTGCTGACGCTATTACATTGTAGTATCTAAGGATCTTTAATTAATTAATTAATAATCATATTTTTGTTTAATTGGTTACTAGATTGGCCTGTTATAGAATGGGGAAACTAGGCCTTAGTTCTTTGATTATTTAACTTGACATTTACCTAACTGACCCCCTTGCCATGCTCATCATGGCAAGTTGTGACATGACATCAAGGTAATTATCTTGATCCTGCAATGATCTTCTAAGAGCTAGTCATTATCAATTATTTGATTTGGTGTGAAATTGATATGATATGATCGATATATTTATCTTATTGATAGGATCAGATTATTTGGTAGCCTAATTGATTTAGTAAGTGAAAGTGTAGAAAGTAATTTTTATTTCTCAAGTTCAAGATAAATTTTTTCGAGGATTGATTCGAATCACAAGGCCAGTTAAGAAAGTTGTTGGGCAACTAGTGTAGGCTAGCAACTAACAGCTAAACTAACAAAGTCGGGCATATAGGAGTGCTGATATAGGTTGCCATATAGCTATTTCATTTCTACTGAAATTGGTTGATATATCTATTGAATAGAGGTTTGGAGGGTCGAGTTCAGCATCCTGTCATCAAAATGTAACATTGACTACTTAAGTATAAGAAAATAAAGTTGTGCATTCACTATTAGCTATAGTTTTTGGTGTAGTAGTAAGTGTTTGATCCTACTAGGAAGCTGTATTATTTGAGGCACCGTTAGAGGCTGACTAGTATACATTATCTTTAAAAAGCAAAATATTTAATAGGATGGCACACGCATGACATGACACAACTATAAAGTGAACTCATCTCGTTGTAAGAAATCTAATGGATTTTTTCCTAAAGATGAAGCTGACTCATCCTTTCCCTTTCAAGGAAATTAAATTGGTGGGCAGGAGGTTAGTTTGAAGTAAGTATAGCATCTTCTAAGGTTGTTTTCTGTGGTTTCAATATATATCTGATCTGCCTTTGTTTTATAATTGATAATCCCATGAAACCAAACCCACCATAGCTAATGTTTCAAGCTATGATTTTGGTAATGGCATGGGGACAGTGTCCTTGTTTCAACTTCCTAGTCCTAGTCTCATTATTGCCTTTTTTCACCAAAATGGTCTGCTCTCATCTCTCCACATTCTTGAATGCACAAAGTTTTCGGCACAAGTTGCCAAATATAATGCCACACTATTCATATGGTGGCATTGGCAATTTGGCATAGAGATTCTGATCTCCAGGACACAATTTTATCCGCCACTTCCCAATTATACTACGGTCTAGCTACCGTACGCACAAGAAAATTTCTATAATGCTGTCCGACAAATGACGCCTCACAAAATATTGGATCGATCTTGAGACAACTCCAATTGAGTTGGCCTGGTTAGGTAGTTGTCTACAGTTGACCAGTTTTACCTATTCAGCCTAGCGGGCAGCGGTTCAAATTAAGAAGACTATTAGGCAGTTTCCAGGCCACCAAGAGTCTAACTTGTTAACTGCATCATGCGATTAACAAGTAAAATAATCGACTAACTTAGCTGAAGTTGTCCTATTATTTTGGTTTGTTGTCCTGTAACGAAATTGGACCCTCCTTGGTGGATAAGACCTGCAAGGTACGTACTGGATGGGGTATAGTGGCAATAATCAGTGAAGAAACATGTTAGTACAATGCAATCAATCTTTTACTACTAATCAATTCACAAATCTCAGTCAGTGAGTCCAAACGAAACCTTAATTATCCCTAGTGGAGCAGACCAAGAAACAAAGAAAAAGTTATGGTTGTTATTGGGCATAATTAGATAAGCATTAGCATTCAAAAAAAAAAAAAAGATAAGCATTAAGGCCGGGTTGGTACACTTTATCCATCTAATGTACCATTGGATTAAACCTATTTCATTTAAGGTTTGAGAGTTGTTTATTGACTTTATCAATTTAAACTAATTAATTATGAGTAATCAGATTGATTTATCTCATTGTGGTCATTTGAGTATTTTTGAGGGTTAGGATCACAATGCAGACTTCCCCAAACACACTTTTTGATGACAGTTATGGCCGGATTTCTCCGTAAATCAAAGAGTTGGATTAACATTAACCACTCCATAATTGTCACTATCTAAAATGAAGGTTAATCCACAATTGTCATTATCTAAAATGAATGGCTCAGATAATAGAGTGAATTCCCCAAGATCTTATGTATGGTAGAAGAATAATTAATTAATTAAAACCCCAATAATAATTTGTTGGGCATTAGGCATAGCTAATTAAATATTAATTATGATAATAATTGTCGTTTTGGAGACATGAAAATGGTATACCCTAAATGTGATGGTCCACTAACTAGCTAGCTAGCCTTGGAGATCCATGAAACCATGACACATGGAGGGCTCGAGGATAAGGTATATATCTAGCTGATGATATAAGCATGAAGTGTGCTGATACCTTGCCACACTCCTCAAGTTCAGGTTGCACCTCCAATATATATCATGTCATATAATAATAATAATAATAATAAAATACAAAAAAGTGCAACATCGCATTGACTTAAGTTTGAATCATTTAAATGGAAGGAGTTTGAGTCATTTTTGAGTTATTTATGGTAAATCATAACTAATAGGTTTGATACCTTTGGGATAGTCCTATCCTTAGAGACACAACAAAATCAAAATTGTAAATTAAACTCAAAAATTTCATCAATTAACTTTTAAAATTTTTAAAATCTAGAGATTTGTGTATAGTTTATGGCTAGTTTGAACTTTTTTCTTAAAAACTTATTAAATGATCCATGCTAATTAAGTGCACGTATAGTTTAATGGCTAATTTAAACCTTTATTAAATGACTGTCACATTAGCTGCCTTCACTGTAGCTCTGCCCATGCCCCCTCCCTGTCTTCGCCTCTAGCGAGGAGAGGAAGAGGGGAGGGGTGGGGTTTTTTTTTTAACTTTAAATTATTAAAATAAATTTTACAAAATAATAAGATAATCTGTCACATTAGCAAGGTTCAGAGGAACAAGTCAAATTTGATTGAATTATATAATTTTAGACAATTTTGGAACCTAATTACACCTTCTAACGTTAGATGATAGAATAGCACTTTTGTATGTCATTTGGTGACTAATTTAAACATTTTCCCTAAATTTTAATCACAAAGTTAAAGGTGGGCTCTCGTGCCTCCTGTCATGAGGACTGGAAGTATATGTCTCCATTTGTTACTTATAAACTTATTTTAATTAATTGACCAGTTGAGTTGTATTATGAAATATGCCCGCACATGATTTAATTATCCATATAATGTTCTACTAGTGTCCTCTCTCTCTCTCTCTCTCTATCTATATATATATATATATATATATATATATATATATATATATACCTCCTGCCGCCGCCGGCGGCCCGTGGCCAACACTCTTATATATATATTTAGTAAAAAAAAGAAAAAACTAAGAACAACTATATAGCATAGCATACTTGTATAGTACTACTACAGCTAGCTAGCGCAGCTGCGGGCTACTGTCTAGATTAAAGCAACCTGCGATGGATCCGAATATGTGAAATACGGCTCCGATTTATGATCTTCATCTTCCATCTCACGTCAACCTCTTTCTCTCTCCTCCTCCTCCTCTGTCTCATCTCCCTATAAATATCACCCGCCATAGCTTCTTTATTAATCCTCTCTCTGCGCCGATAATACATATATCTTCTCCGGCCACCTTCATTTCTTCCTGATCGGAGCTATACATACACATATATATACTCTGTGTATATACGATACATATATGGGGGATAACAACGTTAATCTCCCGCCGGGCTTTCGGTTCTACCCCTCGGATGAGGAGCTGGTGGTGCATTTCCTCCACCGCAAGGCGGCGCTGCTGCCGTGCCACCCTGACGTCATTCCCGATCTCGACCTCTACCCTTACGATCCATGGGACTTAGACGGTATATATATATATATATGGGCAGTTTTATTTTTTTCTTTCTTTTTTTCAAAACAGAACATTTCTTGCAATTGAATTCTCGATCTAATCAGGTTGAGATAATTGAAGTATGTGCTGCTAAGATTCGAACCATGACCTTTGGTCTGACTCTGATAACAAATTAAAGCATCTGCTGCATCTCAACTAAAAGCAAGCTATTAGTTGGATTGTGGCTAGATGCTCACATAGATTACGGCTAGCTGCCAGCTTGCCGGAGTTTTGTGTGTGTATATATACGTTACATGCATGGTAATTAAAATGAAATGAAATTTGCAGGGAAAGCCATGGCGGAGGGGAGGAAATGGTATTTTTACAGCAGAAGAACATCGAGAAGAATGACGGAGAACGGATTCTGGAAGCCATTAGGGGTGGACGAGCCAATCTTCTCCAGCTCCGGCGGCGGCGCCGGCCAGAAAGTGGGCATGAAGAAATACTACGCTTTTTACGTCGGCGAGCCGCCGGAGGGCGACAAAACCGATTGGGTAATGCAGGAATACCGCCTCTCTGATTATTCCGCTTCCACTAGCTCCAGATCATCCTCCAGACGATCGAGTCGCCATTCCAAGATCGTAAGTATAAAATATCATCATCAAAACTATCACTTTTTACCAATTAAAATTGTGTTTATGGGTTATATATAATTAATTTCTGCAGGATTATAGCAAATGGGTAATCTGTCGGGTGTTCGAGGGAAACTATGATAACGGCGGCGGCGGCGATGATGGGACGGAGCTTTCATGTTTGGATGAAGTTTTCCTGTCGCTAGATGATCTTGATGAGATTAGTCTGCCACATTAAGATACTCAATCAGCATTATATTAATTAAGCTAATTAGATCCCATAAGCTTAGGATCTAAATGGCATTATATTGCATTTGCCCACCTAGTGTACTGCTACTGTTTCTTCATATATATATGTTTTGTTCTTCTTAGCAGAAATTTATGTAACAAAAAAAAAAAACCTTATAAAAGTTAATTAAATGCAGTATATGTTTCGGATATAATCCATCTCGGACCAATGGAGATCCGTGTTTGGTAAATAGTTGTTAGCTAATAGCTAAGTACATGCAAAATTACTTTCTGATCGAAACAATTTTTTGAATTTTAACACTTTGGAACAATAAGTTGTAACAAAAAATTAATTAATCAAACAGTCATATTGATTGTTTAACCAAATCAAACAGCTAATAGTGATCAAATAAGTCAACATTAAATGATAAACTAACTTATGTTATCAAACAAGATTGAGATTTGTCCTATGTAGCACTGTCCAAATAGTGCCACGTGGCAGGCTAAATGCATCAGAATCTAAACTGTGGATGAACCCCCTCCCCCCACAACCCCCTACCCCACCGCTATTGCTTCAAAGGTCTGTACGCTCGATATGGGCCTGTAGCTGCAGCTGACTTCTGTTCATGCTTAGTAGAATAGTAGGTCACAGAAAATGGAGGATGAAAAAAAAAATGAAAATTTGTGTAGATTCTCACATGCATCGATTAGTCTATCAAGAAAGTTAGGTGTATTGAAGAGATACTATAGTGTAATAGAGTCAATAGCATTCAAAAAAAAAAAAAAAGTTAGCAGTAACATATTAACTTTCTTATTTTGAGTTGGTCAATTTTAAACCGTCTAAACTAATTTACTTTCTTGTGGTTTTTTGCTGACTAGAGTTACATGTAAAGATTTACACAACATATATTTTCGGATAGTAATTACGAATTTTAAACGTCATAAAAAAATAGAAAAAAGTTAAAAAAAAAAATTAATATTATTTCTATTGTTGTAAAATTAATTCGAATTTGACTCAAATTGTGCTACAAAATATTGAAGTAAATTTTCATTATCTGTTTTATGTTTATATTTTTTGGAATTGATTAGATAGATTAGATATTATATATAGTTGACTAATTATGTTGTATTTTTATATTGGAGGAATATTTGATGGATTATGCATTCTTAGAAAATTTGAAAAAGAAAAGTAAAATAAAATGTTTGGCTGCTTCTTCTCATCCTACTTGGTGGCCTTTTAGCTTTTGTGTGGAATGATGGATATTTGGTAGTTGTCTTGTGTCACATAGCAAAGGGACAATTTTTATTTATTGGTGGCTGCTTAGGGAAGCATTGGATCATTTATGATGTAAGCACCACAAGCTAGCTAGCTAGCTACTACTTCTTCATCCATTATTCTTTTATTTTGTATTCAACTTTTGTGATGTGCTAATATATACTTTTGATTTACTCAAAAGATCGCAATCGCTATTCGAATGCTTATTTTGGATAATGCTTGTTTTATGATTTTAATCGGCAAAGGACTAAAACTAAACAAATCAGTTTAGGTTGTTTATAATTGACGATTCAATAAAATATATTACCTTGCTTATTGGCCTTTTCGATGGGAGTCGGTCAACTATAAGAACCTAAACTGGTTTACCTTTTCACGTCTTTTGCCTGTTAGGATCATAAAGAAAGTTTAAATAGCTGTTGCGAGTTTTTTTCGTAAATCACATATATTGATTATCTTTTAAAAGCTAATTAATAAGATTACCTTGAAGACTTTTTATTAATTATGAAAATTTATATATATATATATATATATATATATATATATATATATATATATATATATATATATATATATATATATTATCACTTATGGAAAATTTAAGATTTCTAATCACCAAAAAGTAGTCATAATCCTAATATTTCTTATCAGAAATGACATTATTTTTTACCACTTTAAAAATTTGAAAAACTCTTCATTGATATTATTGATCATTCGTCGAAAGTGGTGGATAATACTAGCTACCAACAAAAATCGTCAAAAGAATTATTATTAGGTTATCAGGAGGGATTACGGAGTTCTAACCACTTATTGATAATAAAAAAAATTAAAATTAAAAATTACTTACCCCTCCCCATCCCCATCCCCATCCCCCTCCCTCTTATTTATCAAATTTTGATTAAACTAAACAAGTACTATGTATATCACACATGCACACTTGCACTCGAGTACTCCTACTTAACATTGTATATGTATGTCATCACACCACATAGAACATTAATTAGCTAAAAAAGCAATAACTGAACTCATTATCACCTGCAAGTAAAATTTAAAGTAGGTGTTAAATAAACGATGACATATTTCAAGCAAATCATGACAAAGATTAATATATAAAACCTCACTACATCAAAGTATTCTTTTTAGGATAGACTAACGAATCAAACCATTCCTTAATTTGTGCTAATTAATAATCTAGTACTTCAATTCATACTTAGGTAATAATTAATGCATATACTATGCTTCACCCCAAAGTAATTACCACTTTTTCTTGGTTTTACACTTATGCAGCATTGCTTTGCCTAATGTGAACCCTGCAATATAATGCCCATTTTTACCTATAAACAAAGTATGCCATAATAACAGTAATTGCACGTTTTAGTTTGCCGCAAAAGCACATTATAATTCAACCATTTTTGGGTAAAAAAGTGGCACATTGTTTCACATTGCAGTACACAACTAACAGCCTTTTGATGAATCTTTGACTGTACATCTGATGAATTTTCTTACCATTTGCAATGGATTTTTTCCCCCAGACTGCATGATTGGTTAAACATAGTTTCTTCCTAGAAACTTGCCGACAGCTTTACAGCCATGTAAACTTTCTTTCCTACAAGTCCAGTGAGTGTTCATTTTACTTTTGAAAAAACAGTTTAAATGCGATTAATATTTAATTAAGTTGTAATAACAAGTTCTTCTTATTTAAAGATTAAATAATTTGCACTATAAACTAAAGTGTTAAATTTTAAGATTTTTTTAATAATATCATATCGGTTTTTTTTAATGAAAATAAAAATAGCACCAAAAGCTAATAGCACACCACAAAAATTTAGATCTTTTAAAATGTCAATCATGAAATTTAATTTATAATGGTCAAGAATTCAAATCTAGAATTAACTCAACAAAAAAAATCAATAAACTCAATTAATATTATTTTATTTGTTATTTTTATATTTGATAAACACCATGTCACATTGTATTTAGTTAATCAACCCTTTACTAAATAATATAATCAAAGTTAAACACTTTTAAGACTAACCTAGAAAAGTAAAAACAAAAAATAAAAACTATGGTGTGGCCACTTTTGTCTTAATTAGAAAATACACTTTTTCTTGCCATCCTAATCCATTGATAATCAAGAAAATTAGTCTTATATACATGGTATAAATCACTTTATATTAGTCTTTGCACTTTTTTACCTTCCACATCTAATTTTACTTTTCCTGTTTAAAAAAAAAAAAAAAAGTAAAGTAATTCATGTTTGGATTGGCATGGGCCTTCTTGATTTGACCTACTTTTATTGGCAAAGAGAAAAAGTTGAAAATGCCACAATAATGATCCATTTGTGATATGATACACATGAGATAACATTACTCGGAGTTTAAAGGAAAAATGTTCCGAATGATCGAGTAGATAGAGCATGACTCTTAATTATATTTAAAGTTCACGAGCACAATTCTTACAAAGACTCTCTCGGTTGAATCCGTTGCAAAGGACATTCTTAATATGATTTACTTCTCCTATGTGGTTATATATGAGCTCAAATAGTGGTTACGGGTTTATAAATATATATATATATATATATATATATATATATATATATATATATATATATATATATATATATATATATATATATATATATATATATATATATATATATATATATATATATATATATATATAGGTAAAAAATTATTAGTGTAGCCATATCTAGAGTGAAATATAGTTGCATATTAATTAATTTTGATTTAAAAAAAAAGTTATTTATAATCAATTTAATTAATTTAATTTTAAAAAGAAGTTCATGCGATATTCAAGGACGCATGCTTGTTTCCATTGTCTTATACAGAAAGTAATAATCCAATAATCCGACATAATTAACTGTCCTCCTCCACATGTTTAGATCCTAAACACTTGTTTCGAAAATATTTTTAATCAAATTTTTGTCAATTTTCGGTGCTAGAACAACCTCCCGATGATATATATGATACATTTTTTTTGACTTAGACATCTCAAACACGCCATGATATATATATATATATATATATATATATATATATATATATATATATATATATATATATATATATATATATATATATATATATATATATATATTATGCTTCAACTTGAAAGTTTAATTTTCACAAAATTTTGATCAAAATACTTTGATTTTCTTTTTTTCATATGTACCATGACTTTCGAGATAATTGATCACGATCCAATCGAGTTATTATAAATTCTTTTAAAAGCTCACCGAACATTATCTGTTAAAATTCAATATCTTATTAATAAAAATCAATCACTTTAATTTCCCCTCAATACTATATATATGTTGTTGGTATAAAAAGACTAGCTTTAACTGGATTTGTCTAAACTTATATCTTTGTTTCAAAATGGCCAAAGAGAGAGTTGAGTTATTGGAAACTCTCAATATAATTTATTATTTCATTTATAAAGTTCAAATATGATACTTTACTAAAAACCAAAAACAGTAACTTGCTTTGGCAAAATTAGTGGAGTGATTGACTTGGTAACAATAACGTTACGTTGACTTCCTGTAGGTAGGAGCTGTCTATTGGTCATATCAGTTTGAGTTGGTCAACTAACCAATCTAAATTGATTTATCTCCTTGTGATTCTTTGTCGGCTAGGATCACAAAACATATATTATCCAGAATACATCCTTATATAGCGACTACGGGCTTTCTCTTGAATAAAAATCAATAACTTTCTGCTAGCTCATACTATATGTTGTTTGAAAAGGACCAAAGAGCAAGAGTTTGAAGGAAACCCTATATTTTAACCTATTATTTAGAAAGAAGCATAGCTAAACTAAGATAGAGGAAAGCATGCATAATATAAATTAAATAATTCCA